TGTAAGCAAAGAAAACAAGATGCATTTAATTACATAACAATGAGGCCATTCATACAAATAACAATGAACAGAAACAGATGCACCCCCCCCCCCCGAGATATCCTTGTAAGGAGTGGGTGGATGGGTGTGTTGTGGAACTTGATGGATAATCATTTTGGTTTTGCAAACAATATTTACAGTCTCATTTGAATTTGAGTAAACAATGACACAAGATGTAATGAAGTGGACAACATTAACAGCAATGTGATATGACATCATCATCATCACCATCATAATAATAATAGACAATGTAAAGGAAGAACAAATCATGGATTGAAAATAAAATCCTGAAACATATTTACAGATTATTCTAGTGTTTTGTAGGCTTTTAGCAATACAGGAGAGAAATGAACTTCTATTGTACAAAGTTGTTAAATGTTCAGTCAAAAACCTTCATTGAATTTCAATGAAACAACTAAAGAGCCATTCATTATCATCATGTAATATATTAAGAGATTGATATCTGTTTTAATTTCAGAAACATAAAAATTTGCCATGTAACAAACATATAACCTCAAAAGAGAAACAGGATATTGTAAATTTATTGAGTGATGAGAACACAATTGGAAATTGCAAAAGGTTGAACAGAAATAAAAATTAAAAACAGATAAAAAAGAAATTCAAAATATTGGCAAGATGTTGTGAATGTGAACGAAGAGAAAAAAAAAGAAGAACAATGACTGAAGCCATGAAAGGAAGCAAACTACCACTTTTTAAGAGAAATGCATAAGTTAGGCAAAGAAATACAGAAAAACTGATTTCTTAACAGTAATTTTTAGTGCTGAATTTAGCTGCATTGGATGGACTAGATGAGTTTTGGTCCTTCATGGAAATAGTCCACCAAGACAAATTTGAAGACAGCAAGAAGGGGAGAGGTGAAGTAATGTATTATTAGCATCAAAATTATAGGCAGTTTCAAATTTGATTATAATGACAAGATAAGTGCAGAAAATTATACAATTTTTTGAGTGTCCAGGTTACAGCCAAAAACATTTTAAGTAAATGATCCATGCAATACATTGCTTCTACATATTTCAGCAAAGGGGATTATTTCTCACCTTACCAAAAAAAAACATTTCAAAGATACCAAATTAATATGACTCCCAGACTCTCCAGATATTAATTCAAAAGAAAACTTAAAGTCCACTATTAAAAGAGTTGTATATGATAATAGAAAACAATATTCAAACAATGAACATTTCTAAAAACTAATAAAAATTGCTGCAATTAACATGAAAATAAAAAAAAGTTAACAAAATCAATGAATAAAAGAGTGAAGTGAGAGAATGTTAAGGAGTGAATATTAATGTAAAATAATTTATTCATGTATATGAGACATTATGTTAACCAAATGATGCTATGGCCTTTGAATTTATTTATAAATAAAAATTTGTTACTTTGTATGATAAAACTTGATACTCTGCAAAACTAGTTATTATCAATATATTTTAATTAGAATTGATATAATAAGTTGATTCATCTAAATATATCTTGAAAGTGTTACCAATATTGATTGGTTGATATTGACTTGCATAAGAGTGTTCATCATTTGAATGTCCATATATACAAAAATGGTGTTTGTTGTTTATAATTCAAATCTGGCTAACACAAAGTATGAGAGAAATTTATATCAATTCAGCCAGAGTTCTAATAAAGTATTCAATGCATGCAAAACTTTTCAGTACCATCTTTTTTTTAAAGTAGTTTGATGGGTTAGCTTTTCACCCAGTTCACACTCCTTCCCTGTCTTTTGAACAGGAGTAGAGGTTTATCTTTTCTTTCCTGTTTAGGATTAGGTTTCTGGTTCCTTCTCTTAAAAATTTCTCATTTTCTTTCACCTCCAGTAACCCCCATCATGTCTTAGTGGCATTATTGCCTTGCTTGGAGTGAGATGATTAAAACAACAAAAAAAAAAAGAATACACACAAAAAAACAACAAAAAAAAAAAACGGGTCAAACTTCTGCACACACTTAATAGCAAATTTAGTCTTCAGTGGGCATAGAGAGAGACCAGACTAAATTTTGTAAATATCTTCTAAGCTAGTCTGAAATATTTTAAACTTTTAACCATTTTCTTCTTTACTTTAAATCATATGACTAACAAAATGCAGAACAATCAATAAAACCCTAAACAAATAGTCTGAACTTGATTACAGCTGTTCACTCAATTCCATAATCACCCACCAGACAAACTCTTTGTAATCAAAAACATTTCACTTTTCAACTCATACTGCTACTATAAGCAAAGGTAGAACCAGCAAATTCACAGAAAAGGTAAATCAAGAATAAGCAGGAAACTGTAACTAGAATCTTGCTGACATGAGATTAAAAGGAAGCTGAGGTAATTTCAGTTTTAGGCTTTAAAATTGATCAACAATGCAAGTTTGACGACCCACTTATATATTTTGCTTATCAAATACATCACATCAGCCTTACAAGATAATAATGAAATATAAAGCAACAAAGTTAATAAAGCTAACCACAATATTTCTTTTTTTTTATATTGTCCTTTACTACAAACTTAGATGCAAAAACTGCAAACAGTAAAACTGATGGTAATGAATTTTACCTTACAAAAGGTTTTATAAAGGATGGAATTAAAATCTTTATTTCAATGTGAAAAAGCTGAGAAAAATGTAAAATATTTTATTTCATAGTCAGTTCAATTCTACAAGTGATTCTTCCTATCAGAAAACTAAAACAAAGGACTGGTAGAATATCTACATGGAAGAAATATTTATTGAATCAAAAGTTCCTATAAATAAGAAATCATATTTACTAAGTATCTGGAGGCATCGTTCACTGATAAGAACATTAGACTGAGTATTACAATGTCTGCTATTTAAAAAAAAAAAAAAAAAAATTGGAATAAGAGAGATCTTGTGGCCAAACAATTTTATTAAAAATTATATTTCTTATCATAAATGCAGCACAGAGAAATAATTCAAGTCAAACCTTTTATTTATAAAGAAATTTTATTTGCAATTCTTTATTTTTTCTTTCTCTATGCTGGAAGTTCTATTCATTCTTTACAATGCATTTGTTTGTTTGGTTTTTTAAGTCTTGTTTTCATAAGAAACATAAGAAAATCAACTTGACATGATTTTAAGATGAAGAGAACAATTCTAATGTTTAACTTGGTCATTTTTAACAACTGAAAAAAAAAGTAGCCAGCTGGCCAGGTGAGTAAGGCAAACAGGTAAACGAAATCAAATACTCCAACAAGAGAAAGAAATACCTTCATTGGGAATAAAATCAAACAAACCAAATTCCCATTTGTTCATTCAAAATACATAAACAATTTCAACTGCTGTTCAATATAATTTGTATCTTGGAGGACAGATTATATTTTTTTTAAGATTGAATAAGTTTTATATTATCTCCAATATTCTCATGCCTTTCAATTCCGATTTCTGTCCTTATTTTGGTCATTACACTCACAACATTCCTGCCATTGCACCTTCCAGCTTCCTTTGCATGTTTGTCTTCATATTTGGTAATTGTCTTGCAATTTTAAACTGAACCCTTTATTCAATTCCCAAAGGAAGATTGTTCTCATTCGGCTTTAGATAGGGGAGATAACTCACGTCAGTTAAATTCTTTCTATTCTCATAGGCTTCAGTTGGAAACAAAACAAAACAAAAAAATGAAAAACGACACAAAGGTGGATAGATTAGAAAGAATTAAGAAAATGATAATTGCTACATATATAGGGAATGAAAAGAATCTACTGTTATGGACTGAATAAAGGGTTTCGTTTTAAATTTCAACAAGGTTAATGAATATGATAGACCCATGAAGAAAACCAGATGGTTCAACTACCAAGATGCACCTACAAATGCAAAATGTATATAATGAAATAAAAACACAACCAAAATTTCATATTAATATTGCTTTCTTTCTGTCTCTAAAAACTTTTAATTCCACTTTTAGTGATTTGTTGTTATGCTCTTACAAAAATAATTTTTCTAATTATTCTAAAGGAAATTTATGGTGAAAAAATAACAAAAAAATCAAAGATATATTTTAATATTCAAATAATTACACTAATTCTCTAAACTTACTGTCATTTATTGAGCAAATTCATCAATAGTCTTCACTTTGAATTTACTGTAAGCATGTACTTGAAGCTTGCCAAAGTTAAACATGATTCATAACATAAAATGAGTATTCAACCTGTACAAATAAAAACTATATAAGAATTATTGAAATAAATTTCCTCTTATTACATAAAATGTAGTCAAAATAAAATAGAAGCTAATTTTTCTGCATTTCTAACTTCTATAAAATAAGGCGGACATAAAAAAATAAAAGTATTCATTTTACAATTTTACCTAAAACCAATGCTTCTTTCATTATATTTTTAGTTCTTGTCTTAGCAATCTCTTCACAGCCATTTATTTTTGTAGCTTGATAATGCTATTTTTTTAGATTCTACTTCAACTGGACAAAAGGTGAAAGAGTTTAAAAGAAATTTAGTGTTTAGTCAAGAAAATAATCTTATATACAATTTTGATAAAATAAAAAGAGAAAATGATTGCAAAATCATAACGTCAACTTTCATTTTGGGAACCAGATTAAATAACTTTCTTTGTATTTTGTTTTTCTTTTATTTGTTGTGCCTGACTGCAAAAACAAAACTGACCAACAAGATAATCCTTGTAACTGATAGTTTATATTTTTAAAACTGACCAACAACATAATCCTTGTACTTGATTGTTTTTATTTGAAAAAGAAAAAAAATTTTGAGATTTGATTTGTCTGTAACTGAAAATTATAGAGAATCATATGAAAAGCTTTCAAAGACCAACAGAAACTGGTTCAAATTATTTGTTCTTCATTTTGATCAAGAAAAATTTACAAAGGAGAACAGATCACCCAAACCAAACAAAATAAAAAAATTAGGTTTTGAAATTTGGAATTAGTCTGATTAAGTTTTTTTTAGTTTACAAAGCTTTCCTCTAACTAATTCCCTGGCAGGACGAAGACTTGCTGAAAAGATTTGATAAAAAGAAACCAGTTTGCATTTGTGGAGATGGTTCTGTCTCTTGACTAAATGCCTCATAGACATTAGCAGCCAGATCCTTCATCGGTTCCATCAAAAGTAATTCCTGAAAAATCAATTACAATTTTCAAACATGTACATATTTATCATAATTTGAATACATTAATGAAAGGATTAAATAAAATTTGCTATCATTTTTCAACACTACAGACATTTCCATATACATAGAATTGAAAAATAGGCTGAGTGGATGAACATCACTTAAAATGATAAACTTACAAATAAAAAAAAATCTACTTGCAGGCTTTATAACCAAAAACTGATCACAAATGAAAAAAAAGTTACATGCAAACCAAAATTACTTAAATATTTTTTTCTTGTCATGGGAAGGAAGCTAAAATCAAAATGAATAAAATTTTGAAATAACAAACTACAGAATAAAAAAAACATTTTAATCTAGAAGAATCCTTTATTAAGGAAAAATTAACTGAAATTCAGATCTCTAAAAATGTTGAAATTATTTCACATTTTTTCATTTTAAATTATCAGTATATTCTATTGAAAGTATCTTGAGCAATAAATAACTCCAATAAGTGATGCCATGACAATTGGTGAATCCGAGTTAGTTTTAAAGGTTCTAAAGTAAATAATTAGTTTTTATTTCTTTTCTTTATTTCTTTTAAAAGATGCAGGTAAAAAATATATAAAAATTTTCAAGTGTTAACAGAAATCAATTCAATTTTTATTAATTACAGTAATCATAGGCAGCGTTAACATACAAAAAAATTCAATCTTTTGATTTTATTCCTTCATATTTCTTAAAATATTAAAACATCCAATTCACATTTCTTTTCTTACTAAGTCACTGTTTTAATAATAATAATAACCAACAACAATAATAATAATATCCAAGTAAGCCTGTCAATCCCTGTGCATATTTGTGTTTGTTCAACACAAATATACTGAGCTGTTTCTGGGAATCCTCTGGCATGATCAACAGTTTGAACAAGGCCAGTACACTCAAACCATCGGTCACGAAGACTAGTGATTTTGTGCTATCACAACCATTGATGGCTCCCAAATAGTTCCGTCTACCCAATTTCACTCACATGGTTTGGGTCAACCTGTATTGTGGCTTTTAGGCAATTTCAGCCCAATAACATCAAAATGTCACCTTCCAGACAAATCGATCATGATTCGAACCAGGATCTTATGAACGGAAAGTGAAAGCGGCCATGCGACCATATAACCGACAATAAATAATAATCAATATATCAACTCAGATAAGTTAATATTTTATTTTTTTGTAATCTGTATGTTCGACTTCATTCTTGATAAAAGTATAAAATTAATTCGTCCAAGGGAAATAATTATATTGAGAGTTACTTCCCTTAAACTCACCCTGAAAAGGATTCTTGATTGGTGATAGAAGTTTAAAAATATGGGGCGTCATGGTGTAATAATCTGCTGTATAGTCTTGTCGATCATGACAACAGTGAGTTTGATCTTCACTGAGTGATCTATATTTGTGACATTGTGCAAAAATTAAACCTAGTAAATAATCTCAAGTAATCTAGTGTACAGAGAAAGTATTTAAAAATGAAATTAACCAATACAGCAAGTTAGTACCTAAGTTTCATCTTTGAAGGTTAAATGAATTATGCAAAACTTACAAGTAAATAACAAGATGTTTACTTTATTAATCAGCATTACATCGAATGACACTTGGTGCTAATAAGAATCATTTTTAAAGTAATAAATACATTTCTTTTGAATATCGATAAACGCGAGTAATGTGATTGTTTAAAAAGGTGAAGAGTCCATTAAGATAGAATAAGGCAAGAGAAAAGAAAAGCTTCTAAGTTCAAATCCAGCATGCTGGGCAAAATGGTATTTTATGTAACAAAGAAGAAAATAAAGAATCATTCCTTCTTTTTTGTAATATTATTTGATCAAATATTGTTATGAGGACAATTCAATTGATTGTCAAAGGAAATGATATTAAAACATTTACAAAGAACAATAAAATTTTGATAGAAATATGCCAATTCTATCATTCCATTAATTACAGAAATCCAGCACAAAGTAATTAAATTTTGGTAGATAACCACAAAAATAAAAGTTTTGTAGAGTCACAAATTGGGATTCAATTTATCAACCAATAAAAGAAAAATAGCACTGATTCTAATTATAAATCAGTTCTGTAAAACGTCTAAAATCTATTAAAGGAATGAATAAAAAGTTGAAACAATACACAAGTTAATCTAATTGTTTCTTAATGGCTGTTGATTTATGCATGGAATGAAAAAAATTCTCTTACCTGAAAGAAAGGATTGGGTGGTTCTGAACAGAGACGAAATATCAGCTTGTTGATAATGGGAATGAATTTGGCCATAGCTACTTCAGGTTCACTAAAACAAAACAATTACATGAAGAGAAAATGTTTTCCCTTTTATACAATGCAGAGAGATTTAAATAAGCAAAATGGCATTTTTATATGCACAAAACCCAAAGATAAGCCAGCATGATTTTATTTTTATTTATTTTTTTTATATATCTGAATCTAAATGTTCCTAAATTAAAAAATTATCTCAAATACAAAATGCTATTCTCACAGCAATTATTTCTATACCAGTAAAACTTTGTGATATCCCAAAATTCTCCAAACATTAATTCAATATTTGTTACTGTCATTTAATGCAGTTCATTAAAATTTTAATTTATTACTTTTTAAATGAAGCTTTTCTACTGTCATTATTTCATTACTAATTTCATTATCATATTGTTGCTTTTATTGCAACATTCAGAATCAACATGTTTCAACCTCTATAGCAAACAGTACAAAATAAAAAATAAAGAAGCCATTTCTAGTTTGACTTGAACTAACATCCCACACAACATCTAAAGTTGTTGTTTTGTTTATTTTATCATATATTATTGTTTTTATTATACTATACAATGTTGGATTTTATTATGCAATTCAATGTTTTCATAATAAAAATATTAACCAATTAAAATTGATAAGATTTTCAGGATATATTATATAAATATATCCCGAGTATTATAATAATTTTAATTATTTATATAATCTTATAATATTTTTAAATTTATTTATTAAACATATTGATAATAACTTGTCTTAGGACTGCCAAGTTTTATTATACATACAAAATGTAACAAGTTTTTATTTAAAAATAATTACAAAAGATACAAGTTATTGATTGACACACTAATCTAGATACCTGGAAAAATTATTATTTTACACATTAAAATAGTTTCCATATTCTAGAACCTTTATCAGTCTTTCAACCATTGATTTTGTTAAATTTTCTAGTGTTTTGATTTTAACTTATGTCTTTGAAACCATTTTTGGTAAGTTGGGAAATAGCTTATTTTATTACAAAACAGATTGAATCTGTGGAGTTGAATGCTAGTGTATATGCTGACATTTACATGGTATATTTATTCTATAGATATAAGTATAGCCTGAACATTTACCATCATTGGTTAGTACCAATTTTATAATGAAAATATTGACTTGTTTAATAAAACCTGACAGAGTGTATTACTAGGTAGTATAAAACAAAGATGATATAGATAATCAAAGATAGATTAACAAATGAATTACAGATTATAGTTTGCTATCAGGACATCAAAATGGCAAAGATATATCTTTATTTCTGATTTTACACTAACAAAAAGCAACAATAATAAGGTGATGTAAAAGTAGTCATAAAATAACAAAAATGACTAATTTACTCAGAAATTACTTTTTTATCTATAGAAAGATTATTAGTAGTTTAGTAAATTTTTGAAAGAGTTTTAATTGCAGAAATTATTTCTAATAAAATCAGTAATGATAAAAATTGTTATTATTTTTTAAAAATTTAATAAAAATAAATGAACCTGAAAAAGAATCAGCCCATCAAAAAATAATTCCTGATTGTGATGTTTTATATAAAATTTTCTAAATAGACATAAAATTTTTCATTAAATTAATAATTTCTCATAAAAAGAAAATGTATTTCAACTGTTTATAAGCTTAGGTGCTGAGTAAACAAACAACACATTATATTAAATAACCAGGTAAACAGAAATTAAATCAAAAAGACTTGCTTTCATCCCAATAGAATGAGTAGCCAGTTGAGGAAGCATTTGTTTCTTTTAACTACAAGATTGTTAAGTAAAAACAAAAATATTTCACATGAATTCTAAAACTCACTTAACTAGTAGCATGATTGCAAGCATTGAAACTCACCTAACTAGCATGACATGACTGCAAGCATTGAAACTCACCTAGATAGCATGACAAGACTGCAAGCATTGAAACTCACCTAACTAGCATGACATGACTGCAAGCATTGAAACTCACCTAACTAGCATGACTGCAAGCATTGAAACTCACCTAACTAGCATGACATGACTGCAAGCATTGAAAATCACCTAACTAGCATGACATGACTGCAAGCATTGAAACTCACCTAACTAGCATGACATGACTGCAAGCATTGAAACTCACCTAACTAGCATGACAGGACTGCAAGCATTGAAACTCACCTAACTAGCATGTCATGACTGCAAGCATTGAAACTCACCTAATTAGCATGACATGACTGCAAGCATTGAAACTCACCTAACTAGCATGACTGCAAGCATTGAAACTCACCTAACTAGCATGACATGACTGCAAGCATTGAAACTCACCTAACTAGCATGTCATGACTGCAAGCATTGAAACTCACCTAACTAGCATGTCATGACTGCAAGCATTGAAACTCACCTAACTAGCATGACATGACTGCAAGCATTGAAACTCACCTAACTAGCATGACTGCAAGCATTGAAACTCACCTAACTAGCATGACATGACTGCAAGCATTGAAACTCACCTAACTAGCATGACTGCAAGCATTGAAACTCACCTAACTAGCATGACTGCAAGCATTGAAACTCACCTAATTAGCATGACATGACTGCAAGCATTGAAACTCACCTAACTAGCATGTCATGACTGCAAGCATTGAAACTCACCTAACTAGCATGTCATGACTGCAAGCATTGAAACTCACCTAACTAGCATGACATGACTGCAAGCATTGAAACTCACCTAACTAGCATGACTGCAAGCATTGAAACTCACCTAACTAGCATGACATGACTGCAAGCATTGAAACTCACCTAACTAGCATGACTGCAAGCATTGAAAACTCACCTAACTAGCATGACATGACTGCAAGCATTGAAACTCACCTAACTAGCATGACATGACTGCAAGCATTGAAACTCACCTAACTAGCATGACATGACTGCAAGCATTGAAACTCACCTAACTAGCATGACATGACTGCAAGCATTGAAACTCACCTAACTAGCATGAGTGCAAGCATTGAAACTCACCTAACTAGCATGACATGACTGCAAGCATTGAAACTCACCTAACTAGCATGTCATGACTGCAAGCATTGAAACTCACCTAACTAGCATGACATGACTGCAAGCATTGAAACTCACCTAACTAGCATGACTGCAAGCATTGAAACTCACCTAACTAGCATGACATGACTGCAAGCATTGAAACTCACCTAACTAGCATGTCATGACTGCAAGCATTGAAACTCACCTAACTAGCATGACATGACTGCAAGCATTGAAACTCACCTAACTAGCATGACTGCAAGCATTGAAACTCACCTAACTAGCATGACATGACTGCAAGCATTGAAACTCACCTAACTAGCATGACATGACTGCAAGCATTGAAACTCACCTAACTCGCATGACATGACTGCAAGCATTGAAACTCACCTAACTAGCATGACTGCAAGCATTGAAACTCACCTAACTAGCATGACATGACTGCAAGCATTGAAACTCACCTAACTAGCATGACATGACTGCAAGCATTGAAACTCACCTAACTAGCATGACATGACTGCAAGCATTGGTTACATCATTATTTATAATGCAATGATTTGACAGTGATGTTTCTCTTTAAATTAAATATTATAACATTTATTATTAGTACCAAATGTTTTAAAGAGGTAAACTAAAATCTTTATCTACATTTTTGTTTTTTTTGTTTTTGAAAAAAAGGTATAATTAGTAGGCATTTTATTAAAAGAATATAATACAATGGGATGCTGAAAATGTCTCAGATTGACCCACTTCCCCAAATCAGACCAAAGAATTTATTTTGGAATCTCTTCTTGGTCAGACCAAGAACTTTTCAGCTTTCATTCGATTATACTATAGAGAAAGAGAATTGTCTTTGAAACAAATCTTACCTCAAGTTTGCTCTGTCAGGTCGGAATGTTTGAGTTGAAGTAAAGTTTTCTGCAAGTCTATCCATCAAATGTCGGAAGCCAAGATCAAGGCAAGAACAGAAGACAGTATGGAAATCATCACTAGAATATAAATAATAGAGCAACATAATAAAAACATTATTTTTTTTTTTAAGTATTCTGCATTACATTAGTGGAAAAAAATGCCACTTCTGTTTTTCTTTTCCAATAAAAAATACAGAAATCTAGGAGATGGTGCAAAAAAGTTCTCAGCCCAAATCACTTGCCAAAATCTGAAAAAAAATGACCAAACACCTGAATTTATGATGGAACCCTTTCTTGGTCAGGTTGAGAACTTTTCAGTACCCCACTTCATAGTTTTAACTTTATTTCTAGAATGAGGAAAAATAAGACAATTGAAAACAGCTTATGTCTAAAGAAATTCTACTGCAATTAAAGAATAATTCTATCAAGCCATTTAGAATTTACTTTCAACAAATTATTGATATGTAAAACTAGATAAATTCAGAAAGTAAGAAATGTTTTCATAACTCATGTAATCATAGATTTGTGTGAGTTAATAAAACTTTCCTGAAGTTTATATACTGTAAAAAATATGCCTTTAAAGTATTTAACTGTAAAAAAAAGCATGCCTTTAAAAGTATGGTAAATCTATAATCTTAGTGTTGTTAAAATCTGTCAAAGAAAATAATTTAGACGCACCTGTCAAGAACATCTCTTGTCTCAGAGATCATTTTGTCCAGCAGTTTATCTTCATATGAATTATTACTTACATCCTGCATTCATAAAAGAAACAGATATTTATATGAGAAATATATTACTTACATCTCACATGCATAAAAGAAACAGGTATTTATATGAGAAATATATTACTTACATCTCACATGCATAAAAGAAACAGGTATTTATATGAGAAATATATTACTTACATCTCACATGCATAAAAGAAACAGGTATTTATGTGAGAAATATATTACTTACATCTCACATGCGTAAAAGAAACAGGTATTTATATGAGAAATATATTACTTACATCTCACATGCATAAAAGAAACAGGTATTTATATGAGAAATATTCATCATCATCATTTGACCTCTCTGTGGTTGGTCAGAACTCCAGTAACAATCCCTTTCCACACTGCTCAGTCCTACATTGCCGCCCCAGATCCCCAATGTCCAACCCGAGCCATGGTATCTGGGAAAGTCAACTTTCATGAGAAGACACCTCCAGAAGGGTGCCATAGAAGTAAGAACGAGACAACCTCTCCATCCACTCAGTGTTTGAGCATGAGAGAGATTGGTCTCAGTTCTCCGTAAATTGTGTTTAGTGTTGCATGGGATCTCCAACTGATGTTGTGGATTTTTCTAAGGAAATTTGTATATGTTCCATTCAGTCATCTTTCAAGATGAACAGATAATGGCCAAGTTTCTGATCCATACAGTCGGACTGGTTCAATCAGTGTTCAAAATATCTGAACTTTTAAAGAAGATGGAAGTTTTGAGCGCCAAATCTTGCGAAGTTTGTTACACACACCCCATGCAAGAGTTTTGTGGATGTTGAAGTATATTTTGGAATCTATTATATCCAAGATATTTGAAGTCCTCAACTCTTTTGCATGACTGTACTTACATCCAAAACTCATAAAGAAACAGGTATTTACATGAGAAAGAGATTACTTACATCCCGCATTCATAAAGGAAAAAGATAAGAAAATAGATATGACCAAATGCCAATAAAGATTTACTGAATGATACACATGGTCATCAAATATCATGCTTATATGAACAAAGTTAATGCTAATCAGAAAAGCAATAATACTGACTATGTCTGGTTTTTCTTCTGGGGGAAGAATGAATGTACAAAGTTTTTGGCAACTTCTTCCAGTTGCACCAGCATCTGGATCACATTCTACAGCCATTCTGATTTGGTGGATAATGCTGAGAACTTTTGCAGAACTAAGTTTTTCTTTCAAAGAGATTCTAAAAGAAATATGCAAAAAAAACATGTGAAAACAAAGATTTTTTTACATCTGTCACATTGTGAAAATAAAAATAATCAAAAATAATTGAGGCACTCAGGCAAACATCATTGTAACTCAATCACTAAATCATAATTCAATTGTTTTATTAAAATATTTGTAACCTATTCCAACCAACCAGACAGTGAGTATTCAAGGGGGAAATAATTATTAACTATTTTTAAATAAATTTAATTTAATTGAAATCAAAGTCACACCTAATCAAAAATAAACAAACATTTAAAAAAAAAAGCAATTCTCATATGAACAAGACTTAAAAGCTAAATTAATGACATTATTGTCTCTAAACACTTTCTATAAATTTCTTTCAAGTTACATGTTGATTTCTGTTTGAAATTACCAAACAAACAATAAATTTACCAAAAGATTAACTTAAAAAATAATATTCTCTTTACTCTTTTTGAAATACCAAACTTTTCCGTTTTACTCATTTTTTGTGAATCACCAATTTTTGGCCTGCCTTTTTTTAAATATGCAAAAAGATCTTAAAAATTTATAAAACATTTTACTTTCTAGTTTAGCTACAGTTCAATAACACATTTTATTTACAAGACTTTTCTTTATATTTTCTACACAAAAATAGAACAAATCAATTTTTAAATAATAATTATTATTATTATTATTAAAAAGATTATTTCTAGAGAGTCTTGTTATGATTTAGAAGGCAGTTACAGAACAATTACAGAATTCCCAAATAAAATGGAACCATTTTTTACTTACTTTCCAATAACCTTAACCACTGCAACCTGTACATGCTCAACAAGGTCCTTTAAGCCTGAATAGATAAAATTAGAAGCAATCATATAAGTCAATAATTCTTAAATGTCATCATAAAACTGAAATTTAACAGAATATAAAAACACTAAAATCAGGCAGAAGGTTATGTTAGGAAAAGATTTTTTCTATTTAATATAAAGAATGTGTTAAGGACAAAAAATGAACTGGTTATAACAAATAAAAATACATCTGATGATTTAAAAATAAAATATTTGACAATCAAAACTTTAGTCCACAAAGTCTAAAAACAATTTTCAGTTGCCATTTGTCAGCAAAGTAACATACTTCTGAAAAATATCTCAAAAAATTATCAATAGATAAAAATGGACTATATTATTTGTTTTTTATTCTTATACCTGTAGTCATTAACATACAAGTGATTACTTACTAGTTTTACTTTTATGAAACACAAAAAATCTTTACTTTCAACCATTTTTCAACAACTCTTGTTTTTTTTCTGTTAGACAATCATGAGAAAAAATTGTTCCATTGTCAGTCAGTTCAATGAGATGGAAAACAAAAAACAAACACCACCAGACAAGCAAATGTTCATATACTTATAATGAAAATAAAAGCTCCAGACTCTTATCTGTGTTTTTTTTTTTTACAATAGGGCCAATTTCCTCCTCAGACACAGCTTAAGAACAAAATGGCATTATCCTAAATTCAATAGGAAACTTCCTTTTAAATTATGGTTAAAAAACTTATCTAGTCAGGACTAACATTGAATTCTACAGTGGACTTTTGTCTATTAAGTTCTTGCTTGACATTGTTGAATAAACAACACATTTAACACAAATATGAATGTAATACCTTTTGAAGAGAAAGGTTTATTTTCAATGTAAGCCTTGAAAATAACTTTAAATTTTTTGATCTCTTGTCAAAATATATTAGCAAAACTATGCAAGATTTACATTATTTACATTATTCGGACTATTGTCCTCATCTTTGTCGCCATATTTATTACAACGTTTCAGCCATTCTACACTCCGGCCTTGTTCAGGTAGTTGGAATGTCAAACTTAATCCTTTATTTCGCTCACTGGGGTAGACTGTTCTAGTTCCATGTGCCATGTTTAATTCATAAACTTAAGGAATCAGCACATATGCTAGGCCACAAAAATCTCCTAAGCTGACCAAGCATAGAAATGAATACAATATGGAACCAGTAATAAGGAGTGCTAGAGAAAAGTGATAATAACAAAAAAAAAAAAGTTGCAATATGAGCTCTGGCAAAAATATGTTTTGATAACAGCAAAAAAAAATTGCAATATGAGCACTGGTAAAAATGGTTGCTGAAGACATTAGGTTTATAATACCCAGAAATTCATACACAAAGACACATGGCACAGTGGATAAAGGTATTGGTTAAATCCAGTGACAGGATGCAAGAGTGTGGGTTCAATACTCGGTTAAGGCAGTGGAGAACTTTCAGAGGGAAATTAACAAGAGATAACTGACATCCATTAAACATGGCCCATGGAACTAGAACAGTCTACCCTAGTGAGCAAAATAAAGGGTTAAGTTCGACATTCCAACCACCTGGAGGCTGGAGTGTACAACGGGCAAAATGTCATAATAAATATGGTGACAAAGATGAGCACAATAGTCCGGATAATATAAGTAATGTACATAATACAGTCCATCGCAGGAGTCGCTATAAAAGTATTTGACATGCAAATTACTGAATATCCTCTCCCAGCTGTTGACGAATGGAAAAAATGCTCGGCTGATAAAAGCAATTGGTATTCTCGAATCGGGGAGAAAAATTCAGGTATTTTGGCTACTGCGTTTGTTGAAGAATGAGTTATTTTTCTGACTGGCTGCGTGCATTGTGATTCGTGAGATAGTACCTGCAAATCGAGTTTTCAGCATTTCTTTCTGTCCCTGATGTTCGAGTCTGAACTTAATGATTTATTCTCTGTGACATATCCTTTGTAATCCCAGATCGCTTACAAGCTATTTCGGCACTATAACGAACAAGACATTTGACATCAAGTTGATACCAGAGTTTGATGGTTCAGTGACTGGACAAGCAGTTACTGAATGGATTGAGAAGACAGAACTTGTTTGTGACCTGTGTGGAATTAAAAAGGTTGAACATGTTCTTCCTTTGAGGTTGATGGGCGAAGCATTTGCTGTTTACCAGCAGTGAAACTCAGAATAAAAGTCAGATGTCGAGCAGATAAAACGAGCCCTGCAGATTGCCTTTGCACTGGATTGTTTTTTGGCTTACGAGCAGTTCGTGGAACGCCGACTGCGCCCAGACAAGTCCGTCGACATGTTTCTAGCTGACTTGAAGAAGCTAGCTGGTCTATTTGGCAGGATATTGGAGCAAGGATTAGCATGTGGGTTCATGGCAGGGTTACCAGCACACATCAAGCAACTACTGCGCGCGTCTTCCAGGATGGAAGACATGAATACAAACCAACTGTTGGACCGACCTCAGGCCATAATGAAAGATCAAATTGTAACTGAGGAAATGGCTGCAGCTACCATTTCACCAAGCGGAGCTGATAAACATCCAAATGTTAAACGTCAGGAGAGTATGCGATGTTATCGATGCTCTGGGTGGAATCACCTTGCCAGGGACTGCCCAGTTCGATGAGAAGATGCCCGTCAGCCACGCAGGTCATGCACAACAATGCCTTGCTTCCAGTGTCAAGAAGTAGGCCACATTGCTTCATTGTGTCCAGGGAAAAGCAGAAGGGGACAAGACGTCAGCGCCAGTCTCTTCCCTAAGCGAGTTATGAATGAAGCGCTACATGTCTTGGGTATTTACGTGAACGAAATTAAGAGAGTGGCACTGGTGGACACTGGCTGCTCACAGACACTCATGAGTAAGTCAGCCTGTCAATCCTGGCGGGTGGTGGAGGGAACGCACGCACCGTAAACGAAAATACTCTCAAATGTTGCGAAGTTGGAAGTATTAAGCTTGACGTAGACAATGCAAACCCCCTCAAAATCGATGTCTTGGTAGTGGATGGAGAGCTACTGGGTTTTGACTTGTTGCTTGGATTCAACGCCATTAAAAAGTTGGGCAGACTCCAAATAACAGGGTGTGGTGATGTACAGTTTCCCAAGCATGGGATAATCTGTTACGCCGCTATTAAAATAGAAGAACCTGATTTCTGCACCGAATTCAACCCAAACCGGAAGATATGGTTCGCGTCATGGAAGTGGTCTGATGGTCGATCACCAGAGAATTTGAGAAATCGGATGCCCGAGTACCCAATAACAACGAGAGTCAAGGAGGAATACAACAGTGAGCTGCAGACCTGGCTTGATAACGGTTGGTTGCAGCCTTATCCTGAAAAGGAACTCGGTCCTCCAAAAGGTTTAATTCTGTTGATGGCGGTGGTGCAGAAAAACAAAAATAAAGTGTGGCCAGTATTAGACTATCAAGAGTTAAATGAGTGTCTCAACGCACACTCAGCCAATGCTGACGTGTGTGCACAGAAACTGAGGAAGTGGCGTAAAAAAAAAGAACGGATGTCGCTATCCTTGACCTACAGCAGGCTTATTTGCAAGTACATATCCAAAAGTCACTTTGGCCCTTTCAAACTGTAATCTTCAAGGGGCGAAGATATTGCTTAACCCAAATGGGTTTCGGGTTGAATGTTGCACCAGCCATAATGAAGGCCATTGTGGACGCCTCATTGGTGAAAGACGAGTCAGTTCAATGGGCAACCTCATATATTGATGATATTTATGATGACGAGAGCATGATTTCAGCAGCTCGCGTGAAAGAGCACTTGGCTGCGTTTGGTTTGACCTGCAAGGATCCGGAGCAGTTACGGGATGGCACATGTGTGCTGGGTTGGCATGTCAAGCAAGATAACAACACGCTTAAGTGGAAACGTGGAAATGGCATTCCATCAGTTCCTGACATCCTGACACAACGTAACATCTTCTTGTGGTGTGGAAAATTGGTGGGTCACATTCCTGTATGTGGGTGGCTTCATGTTGCTGCATCATTTGTAAAACGCAGGACAGTATCGATCACATCTGGTTGGGACGACGAAGTGATAGATGCCCCCCTTAAGAACATGATTGAGGACATAGCGGAAAGAATACGCCAGAATGACCCTGCACACAGTAAGTGGTGCACAAGTGGACAAGCTTATAAGGTATGGGTCGATGCAAGTTCTCTCGCCACAGAGGTTTCGTTGGAGGTTGAAGGAAAGTTGTACAAGACACATGTTGGCTGTGACCTGTGAAGGACGCCCAACATATCAATTTATCAGAACTGGATACTATTCTGAAGGGCGTCAATTTAGCATTACAGTGGAGTGCAACGGAGCTACACCTCTTCACGGACTCTGTGTGCGCCAGTGGGTATCAAAGATGCTCACTGGCAAAGCCAGAATACGAACTAAGGCGGCAAGTGAGATGCTGATCCGGAGGCGTTTGAGTACTCTTGAAAAGTTGATTCAAGAGTATAACTTATTGATCACGATAAGTTTAGTAACGTCGGGTGAGAATTGAGCGGATAAACTCACCAGAGTACCGCAACGATGGTATGAGATGATAAAGAAGGAAACCGAACCAACACGCCCGATATGCACTTTCATGGTGAACGAAACCTCTCCTGATAAGATATGTGCCATACACTGCCAGAGTGGACATCCTGGCGTCAGGCAGACGCTATATTTTGTGAGACAAGTCTATCCTACGATTTCCAAGGCGGCCGTCAAGGCAGTGGTCAGAAAATGTAAAGAATGCCAGTCAATTGACCCAGCCTCAAGTTGTTGGCCTCGTGCCAACCTAAGCGTGACTTAAATCTGGACCCGCTTAGGAATGGATATTACACATTACGGTGGGCAACACTACCCTACGTTAATTGATTGTGGCCCTAGCAGATTTGCGATATGGCGACGCCTGCTTCAACAAGACTCAAGAAGTGTCATTCGGCAGTTAGAAAGTATTTTTTTTAACGAGGCCCACCATCAGAAATCCTGACCGACAATGATACTGCATTTCGCAGTAAGTCCTTTAAAGATTTCTTGGATGACTGGGGAGTCCAACTTCGTTTTCGCTGCGCCTATGTTCCCACAGGAAATGGTATAGTGGAAAGATCTCATCGGAGCATAAAGAGAATTACAACAAGAAAGCAGTGTTCGATAATGGAGGCAGTATACTGGCATAATATCACGCCAAAGGATGATATATTGTTGACTAATGCACCTACCAATATGATTCACCATTACCAACTTAAAGTAAAGGGAATTACTACAACATTACCACCTGATCGTTGTAAGTATCACGATATATACAAAGTTGAGAAAAGTGTATGGGTGAAAGCTCCCCATGGCCGGTGTATCTCCAGGTATCAAGTGGGTCACGTGACGGACATTGTAAGTCCACAAACAATACTAGTTGACGGGATGACACAGCATGTAAAAGATCTTCGCCTTTTCATTGATTCTGATACATCGCCAAGCGAATCCGATGATGATTCATCGTCTGACAGTGAGCAGATAATTGAGATCTGCAAATCTGATGCTTCCACAGACACAGAACTTCCGGAAACTCGAAATACGTCTGATGACTCCTCAGGAGACGACTCTCCGACACATGTAAGGGAGATAGTCCCATTACGATGAAATACCAGGATAAAGAGAGCTGCTCCAGGTTGTTCGATTTGTGATAGTGAGATCAGGGGGAGTATAGCAAAGAAAACGGCAACTTACCCCATCAAACCAAGCGACAGCGTGTATTCTACGATGGAAAATGTGGCGAAAAAGAAAATTACTTACCAAACAAAAGGGCACGTATTCCACATGACATGCTGAAGATGGAATATTTGAATTAAAAAACAAGTCCATCACAGGAGTCGCCATAAAAATATTTTGATATGCAAATTACTGAACATCCTCTCCCAGCTGTCGCTGAATGGAAAAAATGCTCAGCCAATAAAAGCAATTGGTGTTCTCGAATCGGGGAGAAAAATTTGGGTATTTTGGCTACCACATTTATTGGAGAATGAGTTATTTTTCTGACTGGTTGCGTGCATTGTGATTCGTGAGATAGTACCTGCGAATCGAGTTTTCGGCATTTCTTTCTGCCCCTGATGTTCGATCTGAACTTAGTGATTTATTCTGTGATGTGGAAATAATCTGCAACAAACATTTCCTTTGTAATCCCTGATTGCTTACAGTTAATGATACATTTTGAGTGATTTTATCAAGATTATAATTGTATTTATTTTTAGAAATAAAACTTATTGCATATCTTGAATGTGAATTGATTGTACCAGTTTTCCATGAATGAAAAGGAAATGTGCCATACCAAAACAAAAGACTGAAATCAAATGAACCAGCATATTTTAAATTTTCTCTGTTATGATTATGAAGATTTAGACTGAAACTATCGTTTAAAAGAGTAAGTGTCAAAGGTATATTTTACCTTGATCAAGAAGATGTTCTAACATAGCCAGATATCGACCTTGAATATTTTGGGTGGCATTAGAAAAATGAGAACTCTATGAAAGAAAAAGAAAGTAAGATTAGGAGCTTTAAATTAACAATGATGTATAAAAATACATTCAGACAGAATGTAGACTAAAAAACAAAATCAACGTGTTTCAAAGCAAAGATATTTACATTGTAAATATTATCAGTTGCCATGTCATCATCATTGTATTGAATCCTATCTTTTCAAATAAGCATAGAGATACAAGAGAGCTGCATCTTTGCATTGATTTACTGACAAGACAAACTTACTTTGCTTAATGCAAAAATCATCATTTTTTTTCTTGTTTCATGACAAAATAAAAAAAATAAAATCATCTTCATTACAAGACATTCTTTCAAACAAAACTGTCAATTTATTAAATTTTAAACAACATTTTCTATTTGCTCTTTTTCTCACGGACGGTGCCCAACTGGCCTTACTATACTGTGCAGTTAACAAAATAAAAAACAAACAACGCACATACAGGAAATTAAAACTATAAAATGGCGACAATTTACCTATGGAATCCTGTATAATTAAGTGTTTATGTTAAAAACTAAGGGAGGTAACTTCATTATTTTTTTAAAATTTAAAATTATTATATAAGGTAACTTTTATATTTATTCAAATGAAGAAAAATATGGAAAAACAAAAATACGAATATGCAAGTATGCTGTTTTAATGTTGTTTCAATGTCGACGTCAGACGTTTCGGTCTAGTAGAGCTTCTTCAGGACATAGTTATTAAAACATAATTAAAATTAGACGATATTCAAGTCAACATGAAAAGACGATAGACATAAGACTAATCAAAACAGAATAACTGAAATTTTTAAGATCAGCGTTCCGTTTCGCAATACGATCACGTCGTCGATGTTGTGAAAACGTAATTCTAAAATAGAGTATATTTTAAATGAAAAAGAATTTTATTTTAATCTAAAATTTATAAGTACGTTTGTCCAGCATTAATCTTGCCAGAAAAGGGGAAATATTAAAGAAGCCGGGTCTAGTATTCACTGTGCGTGAGAGATATTATGCCTGCCTCATAAATCATTTCTTCATACTGTCGGATCCATATCCACATATTTGCTTACATTTATTCATATATACACACATAAACACATCGACTTTTGCTATTTTACTTCATATTTATTTGATTTAATTTAATTTTTTAAATATTCAAATTTATTCTATATAAGACACGAGAGTATATCAACAATATTTGAATAAATCTGTTGCTATTTTATTTCCATTGTTGTTACATCTGCTCATGTAAAACTTACAAAGTCCTCTTTGTAAGTTTCACATGACAATAGTTTGTTTATTTTGGAGTTTGTTTATTTTATTGATTATGTAAACTATAAAGTAAACTATTTAATATATTCTTAATATAAAACTATTTAATATATTCATAATTAAACTTATATATTTGTTTAATTTATTTATATTTCCTTATATGTATATACATATGCACATATATTTACAAGTACACCTATCGGTGGTGGCTTTATCTTGTATCCAAGAATTTAATTTCTTCTTTGCTGATCACTTCCTTTGTGATGGTGGTGCTGTTGACTAAGCAGACCAATTCTTGCATGGAAGATGGCATTGAACACCTGGTAATATTCATGAAGAATAAAGTCGATTTTGTCATGCCTTTCTTTCTTGTTATTTGCTTCTTCCTTTTCTCTTCTGGTGGCTTTGAAATTTTTGGTTCTGATGTTGATGGAACACCACCAGTTAATATGTTCAAATATTACATAAAAGCACATATATACATAAATATATTTATTTACTCATTTATTTATTTATTTTTATACTTATCATTTACCTACATTCTGCATATTTCTATTTTTGATTGATAATTTTTTGTTTATCGTCTTTTTTAACATAAAATATATCAAAGACAGCCATAGGAATCCATCAACAAATTCATGTTGCTTTGAAATATGCATGTTAACAATAGTTTTTTCACTTCAGCTTCCATTCTCTTCAACCTATTAAATAATATTTTAAAGAAGAAATGCAAAAGAAATTTCTACAAATAGTTTTACATCTTATTCCATAATTTGTTCAAATTACTGAAGTCAGTTTTTATGCTGAAATGATAAGGATTCATATGAAAATTACAAAAAGTAATCTTAAATCATTTTTCTTGTCTTATCCTAATGAAAATTATGGAAATTAAAGAAAGTGATTATGTGCATATGTGTGACGAAAATACACGTGACATTGTTAAATAAAGTATATTAGCATTCTTGTGAATCTTAGTGAAATTCTTGCATAACATAAACATTTCTGAGAAGCATTGAAAGACAAACAAGTTTCAATAGAAAATACTCAATTCAATCAGCACAAAACAAATAAGATTCAATGCATAAAATGGAAACATTTCATTCACATTTCCAACAGGCACTACAATTTACCTACTAGAAATGGTTTTTTTAAGTATTTGCAACACAATATATTTAATATGTTTTTCTAGAGTTTCCACAGAATCAACAAAAGTCAGTTTATGGTAAAGCAAAACAGAAGACAGAAACTGACTTACCATGCCATTCATTTTCGTTGAAAATTTCTCTTTGTAAATATAGGCACCTACAATATTTAACTGCACCCTCAGCAACAGCACCAACATACTACATACATACACACTGCATATAGTACGTGTGAAACCTTTCAAAAGAAGTATGTAATATGAATTTTTGAAAATCATAGACAACAATTGATCAATGGTAAAAATGACTGGGCAAACAGAGATAAAAAAATATTTTCCAGTTTTTAATGTTAATAAAAGAATGTCAAATAACACTATCAAATTTATTCTGGATCTTTGAAAACATTATTTTAATATATTAAGAAGCCGAGAAATAAATTTAACTGCCTAAAATATTGATTTCACAAGACTGTTATTAAAACATAAAAAATCTCTTTGGATCTTTTTACCATGAATATTAAAAAGAAAGCAAATATTTCAGTTGATCTATCTCAAAAATACACAAAAGCAGTTAATGCTTATTTTTGTTGAATATATTCCAATTATCCAATTATGCCTTTTGAAGCCAAATAATTACAAGAAAAATAAAACTGCTTACTCAATAATTTAAGTTCTTCCCATATTTGAAGTTTGTTTTTTGAACTGAAAATAAAAATGGTTTAAAATAATTTTAAAATCTTAGAAAATAAAACAAAAACATCTGTTGATAATAAAATGGTGGCTGATAAAAGTCTATACATCACAGAGAATGAATAAAGTAAATGAATGCAACGAACATTGTGTTTATTTCTTAGATTTCATTCAACAAAGAACAAGGTAACAGCACATTACAGCAATCTGTGTAAACTTTCAGTCAGAAACAAAATTCACTTACTTTACACGAGAAAGCAACAAAATATGTATGCAAGTAATCTTACACTGAATAAACAAAAGAGTGCATGACAAATAATAAATAACATTCTAACATCATATACTGTATTCATTTTCATAATATACTGTATATACTGTATACTGTAATCATTTTCATAATATACTGTATATACTGTATACTGTATTCATTTTCATAATATACTGTATATACTGTATACTGTATTCATTTTTCATAATATACTGTATATAATGTATATACTGTATACTGTATTCATTTTCATAATATACTGTATATACTGTATATACTGTATACTGTATTCATTTTCATAATATACTGTATATACTGTATATACTGTATACTGTATTCATTTTCATAATATACTGTATATACTGTATATACTGTATATACTGTATTCATTCTGTATTTGTATATATATATATTGTATATACTGTATATAATGTATATACTGTATACTGTATTCATTTTCATAATATACTGTATATACTGTATATACTGTATACTGTATTCATTTTCATAATATACTGTATATACTGTATATACTGTATACTGTATTCATTTTCATAATATATACTGGTATATACTGTATATACTGTATACTGTATTCATTTTCATAATATACTGTATATACTGTATATGTTGTGTATACTGTATTCATTTTCATAATATACTGTATATACTGTATATACATAATATACTGTATACTGTATTCATTTTCATAATATACTGTATATATTGTATATACTGTATATACTGTATTCATTTTCATATATATACTGTATATACTGTATATATGTATATACTGTATATACTGTATTCATTTTCATAATATAATATTTGTATTCATTTTCATAATATGTATATACTGTATATACTGTATTCATTTTCATAATATACTGTATATACTGTATACTGTATTCATTTTCATAATATACTGTATATACTGTAAAACTGTATTCATTTTCATAATATACTGTATATACTGTATACTGTATTCATTTTCATAATATACTGTATATACTGTATATTCATTTTGTATTCATTTTCATAATCATTTACTGTATATACTGTATACTGTATTCATTTTCATAATATACTGTATATACCATATACTGTATTCATTTTCATTCAATATACTGTATATACTGTATACTGTATTCATTTTTTATATAATATACTGTATATATTTGTATAATGTATTCATTTTCATTCATTTACATAATATATGTATACTGTATTCTGTTTTCATAATTGTATATACTGTATATATTCATTTTCATAATATACTGTATATACTGTATACTAATTTTCATTTTGTATAATATATACTTTATATAATGTATCATTGTATTCATTTTCATAATATAATGTATATACTGTATTCATAATATACTGTATATATTCATTCATTTTCATAATATACTGTATATACTGTATTCATTTATATACTGTATATCATTTTCATTTTAATATACTGTATATTTCATACTGTATACTGTATTCATTTTCATAATATACTGTATATATTGTATATACTGTATGTATTCATTTTTCATAATATACTGTATATACTGTATACAGTATTCATTTTTCATAATATACTGTATATACTGTATTCATTTTCATAATACTGTATATACTGTATTCATTTTCATAATATACTGTATATACTGTATATACTGTATTCATTTTCATAATATACTGTATATATTGTATAACTGTATTCATTTTCATAATATCACTATATATATACTGTATTCATTTTATACTGTATTCATTTTCATTTTATATACTGTATATACTGTATACATTTTCATAATATATTTTGTATATACTGTATACTATATGTATTCATTTTCATAATATACTGTATATACTGTATACTGTATTCATTTTCATAATATATACCGTTTATAATATGTATATATGTATTCATTTTCATAATATACTGTATATACTGTATTCATTTTATAATATGTATATTCATGTATTTTTCATAATATACTGTATATTTGTATACATAATATACTGTATTCTGTATTTTCATTAATATACTATATACTGTATTCATTTTCATAATATACTGTATATACTGTATACTGTATTCATTTTCATAATATACTATATGATACTGTATACTGTATTCATTTTCATAATATACTGTATATATATTCATTTTGTATATACTGTATACTGTATTCATTTTATATAATATACTGTATATACTGTATACTGTATTCATTTTCATAATATACTGTATATACTGTATACTGTATTCATTTTCATAATATACTGTATATACTGTATACTGTATTCATTTTCATAATATACTGTATATACTGTATACTGTATTCATTTTCATAATATACTGTATATACTGTATACTGTATTCATTTTCATAATATACTGTATATACTGTATACTGTATTCATTTTCATAATATACTGTATATACTGTATATACTGTATTCATTTTCATAATATACTGTATATACTGTATATACTGTATACTGTATTCATTTTCATAATATACTGTATATACTGTATACTGTATTCATTTTCATAATATACTGTATATACTGTATATACTGTATACTGTATTCATTTTCATAATATACTGTATATACTGTATACTGTATTCATTTTCATAATATACTGTATATACTGTATACTGTATTCATTTTCATAATACTAATGAACTGAAATTAGTTTGAAATGACCAATGAATATTTGAGTGAAATTCCTCAATAATAACTTACCTTGATTTCAGTTGTTGCGTAAGACTTTCTGTATCAATAATTCGTAAAATTGCACCCCTTAAGTTAGGAAGCATAGAAAGTGCTGTGGAAACAAAAATATTTCTGGATTATAAATGAAATTTCAAAAAGTTGATATAATTACCCTAATCAAATTAGAGAGAGAAAATGGGATATTTTTAGAAATCTAAATAATTCTTTTGTTTTTTTTTTTGTTTTTTTACAAACTTTCTGAAGTTCTATTTTATCAATTCTGAAAAGTAAAAATATTTCTTGTTTGAATAACACAAAGATATGCTTTATTTCCCTTTTTGTCAAAAGCTAATTTAGATTTTACAAAGAGCCATTCTTTTTCATTTTACTCAGTTTTTATTAAATGTACATCTGACCATAAGCCAGGGCAGTGAACGATGAGGTCAACAGAGTGGCGACAATCTGTTTCAAGCCTGAACACAATCTTCAGGCTCCAATGTATTCAAGTAAGAAACAGACAGATGCCACTCAATGTTGATCTCATTGTACACATATAGCAGACCTTAAAACTATATTTTTATCATATAATATGCAAGTTTGGTCGAAGAACAACAAAAGTTTTTAAGGATTTGTTTTATTTTTCCTGTATTTTGAATCATTTAATGGTTACCAGTGAAAATTTAAAAATAAACTATCCAATGCCTGAGTACTTTTGGCTTTCATAAGCTATTATCAAAGAATTTTTTTTTTTTTTATATGTCAGTTTCATCATTATTCAAATATCACCACTTCACACATGATGTCGCTTTTTTAATTTTTGCATCTTCACATGACAGTTCATGTTGCCATGTCATTTTTTTAATGAAATATATTTAGCATATTTGTTCCTAAATTTGATCTCATTTTATTTGTAGTCATTTTTTACAGCTTATATGCTGTAGTATTTTTATGGGAGCATTGCCAAATGGTTAGAATGTTTGCTTTCCAACCATGAGATCCATGTTCGAATCTCATCATGGTCAATTTGTCAGTAAGGTGACTTCTTGATGATCTTGGCCTAGAGAAACAATTCCAGCCTGTGGCAGCATTGGAAAGTGCCTGAAAACACCATGAATTGATCCAAGCCATGTGAGTCAAATTGGGTAGATAGAATTTTTTATCAATGATTACAAGTCATTGTGACTGAGTGTTTGAGTGTACTGGTCTTATTCAAACTGCTAATCACACCAAATGATGCCCTCTCCCCCAGAAATTGTAACTAAGGTCAGCTCAGCATAGTTGCAGTATGAACCACAGAAAGGTTCTGTGGGTGTTGAACATACACAAATATGCCTGAGCAAGAGTCTGCAACAGGGATTGGTTAGCCACACTAGCAGACAGGCCTACTTGGATACAAACAGCCAGCTACTATTTTTGTTATTGGTAAGGATTTGTTGAATTTCTTGTTGAGTTTTGTTGCTTTTTTGGTTGTTGATATGCAATGTAATTGAACTATTATTGAATAAACCACATGTTAATCAGAACAATAATTTAGTGGTTGCGTGACCAATGTACATATCTGAATTATTATTAGAGAGACATTCTCAAAGTGGGCAAGCAGATTTATAGACAACATTGATTTGTTGTAGCTTCTGGTTATTGTGTAGTTGGTTTATATAGAATAGTTTAATGGTGTTTTTACATTGTTATTATATATTATTAGTGTTTGTTTTTATTTTTTCTCATGTTAATTTGTTTAATATGAGAAAACATGTGGATAATGAAATTATTGTTAGTTAATATTCGCTTTATGCTTCTGAATTCATTAGAAGATATTGTACATGGTAGAAGATATAGATGGTCTATTTATTAAATTCTTAACAAAAAACATAGGCTGGTCTTTAATCAAACTTACAAATCAAATTACATTTAAAACTCTTACCTGTGCGATTGCATGTACGCTGATTGCAGTCAAAATGATGTTGTTTTCTATAAACAGAAAAAATTTTTAATCAATTTTTCAAGATGTGTGTGTGTGTACGGATGTTATATATACATCAATAAACGTTTGTGTGGAGAAAATTTTAAAAAAAGTAAATTTTGTTTTTAATCTTGTAACTGTTAAATTCCTTGCATACAAATACTTGCAAATTATTTATCTAGAATTTTTCTATGATTAAATTTAAAAAGAAAAACTAGCTGAAACTTTCTTTACTGGTAGGATTTTAAGCTAGTTCCTATGAAAGTCCTGAATGGGCTTGCCTTTTGTCACTAGTAAGATTTAAACTATGTATTTATCGAATTATACCTGATTTAAAAATAATTGCCATCATGAACTCCTAGATGTAGTAAGGAGCCCAAACTGTTTAGTAGCACTTAGAGAGCCAGATAATATTGGGGTATTTGTGCATGCACGTATTAGGTTGGTGGAAAAATAATGATGTAAGAATGTCGTTTTTGACGTACTTTTCTACGTCAAAAAATGACATTCTTACGTCATTATTTTTGCACCAAACTAATACTTTTGGTGGCCAATCCTGAAGCCATATTATGCTTTAGATTTAACTACCTTCTGGATGATTTGTATTACAACAGATGATGGGCAGTGATAATTATTTCGGCCTTTTTTCTCTTTAAAATATTTTATAGATTTAAAAAATGCAATTTTGTCAAGTAACTGCAAATTTCATGAATATAGCTTTAGAAGTGAGTTCTATAGTCATCCAACAATTATGAAATAATTTTTATATAAGCTTCTAAAATTTTGCATACAGTAATTTACAATTTTAACATTTCACCTTTAAAATTTTAAAAATCTTAACTTTCCAATAACCATATAAATATTTACCGAGCAAAGGCAATGCTGGCTTCAGCTTCTTTTTCCTGGATTTCAGTTATCTTTGCTTGAAAATATTTATACCCTAAAACTGCACCTATAAATATAAATAAATAAAAATATCAGTGAAATGAATGCACAAATAAAACAAATTGTAATGTCATCAAAGTTATTTAAAAAATACAAATTTCTTCCTAAACATGTGAAACTATTACATAAGTATAATACACTCATTTAGAAAATACAAAGCTTCAAAGCATAAAGGACTTTGTATAAATATAACAAAGATTTTAGTTATAATCGTAGTTCATGATTATATACGATTTCTTGATATTTATGAAATACAAAAGCAATAAATGTTTTTGAAGATTGGGCTGTGTACACATTCTAAAGTTACTAACATTTCAAATAGTAATCTTGTTCAAGAAGTGTTATGTTAGTTGGAAAATGAATGGAAAATTGAATTTACTGATTTTTATATAAAAAACACTGTTTTCACTATTCTTTTTTAAAGGAAACGTCATTATGCAAAACAAAGTAGTTTCTTCAAAGGAAAACAAAATTAGAAACTAAATCTGAATGAAGAAGAATAAATGTGAGATTGTGTATTTGGGGAAAAATATATGAAGAAGTGATTTTTATAATGCACTAAGTATATTTTAATCTGAATAATGTCTAAATATCGTGGGTTGCTAGTATGAAAATAAAACAAAAACTAATAACAGATGTTTTTTTAATAAAAAAAGAATATGAATTCAATATCCAATTACTAACCCAAAATGTTTATACCAATCTCAGAGATACTGTTTTCTTTCAATGAGATCATTATTTTTTCTATGTACATAAAATATAAATGCTACATTAATTTAAAAGTAAAATTACGAATGATAGACAAGATTATTCAACAGAAGATAAAGTATAGCAATAGACTATTTTGTGGGCCTGCTAAAATTCAGAGAGTTTTTGTAGACTTTGTATTCTCATCTCAGTTCTCATTTTATCACAGTAAATAATTTTCACCTGGCAGTGTAAGACTACAATTTGTTTAAACCCTGTTTATGAATGATCAAAGAAAAATATTCTTAAATTTGAAAATGGCATCATCTTTAAATTGAAAATGTTTTACAACATAAAAAAATTATACAAATCAAGTAAATTTATGGTAGGATGTTGTTGTGACCTGTTTAGGGGCCAGAAAGAAAGACACGGAAGATGAAGGTAGGTTGAAAAAAGTATATTGAAGATATATACAAAACAATAGTGTTAGTAATAAGTAGATTAGCACTGCATCTAGAACTCCACTCCACTTCACACTCTGCGCTCAGTATCAGACTCTCGCAGTTTGCATTTATGAGAGGAGGAAGAGTTCATTATACTGTAAGAGGGTTTACCACAGCAGATGTGCAGGTAGTATAATGGCTATCAGCTCAGAAAGTGAAATCAACAACACAAATTCAAATTACAGGTTTGTCTGTTGCATTTGCTTTTGCATAAATGCTCTTGAGAAAATTGTGGATTTGTCTGTTTTTCCCCACAGATATGGATTAAATAGGAGGGTAGAATCGTCTCTCTACCCTTGCATGTCAGCTAAACTAAGAGAAAGGAAATTTTTAATTCCAAATCATGGACAAGGCAACTGGAAATCTCTTCTCTATATTTCTTAAGAAATCATTGCAATTCACAAATAAAGAAAAGGAATTTGAAGAGAGTCATGATTGCCTACATAGCAAATGGGCAACGCTATATAGAGAGAAAGCATAATTTAATTATAACTGACTAAATAGTATTTGTATTAATGGATTCCAAATTAAAATCAATTCCACATTGAGACTCAACTATATTTTTTTGAATTTGAATCTTACGAAACAAATTATTTATTTTGTAAATTTTCTACATTCTGTGAGTATATAAATGATAAATTCTCTCAAAATAATTATTGTCCATACAGATTTACAGAGATATTACATTAGAAGCTCACAATTTTTCAAGGCATGAATATTAGAATTGAAAGTTATCCAATACATACAGAAATAAATCGACTGTAAAATTTTATAATAAATAATTCCAAAAACAATGATTTGTTAATATTAGAATTTCTACATGTATAAATTGAACAAGTCTAATATTAAATATTTAAAATTTACTTATGTGACAAAGTGAAACTTGCAAGCTATTGCTAATGAGCACCTTGCTGGGTGCTCTATTATAGTGGCTGCTTAACTTAGTAAGTAAAACATATCTACAAAATAAGTGTTTTCACAAAAGCTTTAAATAAATACACTCCACTTGAAAGAGTGACATCATTCTCTATTTAGAAGTTATCATTTTTATTTTATTATTTTTATTTATTATATCAATTTTATATATATTATATAATAATTATATATATTTTCCCTCCAAGTGGTAGGTGATCATGGTTCTCTACAGATAGGTACCTCCATGAGATCGCTAAAAAAGAGTATAGCACGATGAAAAAGACGCCAAACTTGATGAAAACAAAATTTTATCATCTAAATGTTCATGTTATTATTAAGAGGAAAGCTCAAAGTATTTTTTGGGTATTTTTTTACATTTTTTTAATCGTTCCTAGCATGTCCGAAATTTTCGTGAAAAATCTTTTTTTTTTTTTTTTTGAGTCAGCAAAATTGACAGATAATCAATCATGGCATCCATTTTTTTCCATTTTATAAAAAAAATGAAAATCTCAGTTTGAAATTCTTTTAAAATTCAATTATCATTTTTTCAAAACTTATTTTAAGAAAATCAGAAATTATAATGTTTATTTAAAATATTTTGAACCAATGTTAACTTAGCTTCTGCAGTGAAAAGATGTAATTTGAAAATAAAACAAAGCAGGTCATAACCTTTTGCGTCATTTGACAGGTGTTGAATGACATATTGACGGAATACGTGAGGATAATTTGTTCTACGGAAGGAGAAAAGTGAAGTTATTTAGATTTAAGTGAACAAATTTTTACCCCATTATTTTTAAGGAAAACTTTCAGTGCTCTAATTTTTTTTTTTTGTACTTAGCTTTCACCTTTACGTTTATGATGCTTTATGGAAAATATATTATAAAGAAATTAAAATAAGACTGTTAAGAGTGAGAATAAATTTCATAAGAAAGGTATCTAATTAATTTATAGGTACCTTTCTTATGAAATTTTATCAGAAGTGTATATAAAATACTATAATTTTATGTACATTTATTACATTTTACTGTGTTATTTGTATTTCTATTCATTTTATTATTAATTTTGATATTTCATTTATGGAAAAAGTCGTAACTGAGATTAATATAAAAAATAAGATCATATAAATTTCATAAAGATGATACTTGTAGGTACCCTTCTCAGTTGAAACTGAAAATCAAATTAACTTCTCCACACGTGTTTTGCAAAAGTAAAAGGCCTTAACAGCGGAGAACAATGCTTAACTCAAATAACGCAACTTAATTGTATTCTGGTTGGTCTTCCATACTTTATAATTACAGCCCGATTATAAACACAAAATTACATTTCTTAATTATTGCAGGTCTTCCGATTAGTCAAAACGATACAATTTACAACGCACTAAGATCTGTTTCATAAGGACACTTACAAAAGTGGATGTGGCTTTTAACTAATTTTATAATATTTTAACAACTTAAATGTAAAAATCTATTATAATTAAAGAAATAACAAATAATTGTATTAAAAATTCATTTTTCATCAAAAAAATGTTTTGCTTTCAGAAAATATTGTCCATATTCATAAAAACAACTAAAAAAGCAAATAAAAGCATTTGAAATTAAATAATATCTTTGTTTTATTGAGTTTTGTATGTTACAATTCAGAGATGATTTTCAGGTAGGGGTGGTCCAACTAAAAAAAAAAAAATTGATTTGGTTTCCTCAAAGCCTCGTGGTTTTAACTATTGTAATCACTAAATTGTATTCAATTGAATTTCTAGAGTTTTCATAAAATTAGTTAAAAAAAAATTTCTGCCTTGACTTTAATAAAAAAAACCCAAATAAAACAAAACATTTATAATAATTTCCATCATCTGTGAATAGTTTCTGAAAGTTTCATTTAACATCCGACAATTAATTTTATTTTTGCAAGATTTTCCAAATTAATGTCTATTGTCTGTCGTACAAAAAAAAAAAAAAAAAAAAAGTGATAAAAATTGTATATGTTATTTTATTAGTTCCGGTGATACAAAGAGTAACAAGGATTTTTAAAATCAGAATGTTCTAAAAAGAAGGAAAAGAATTTAAAAAATAATTAAAAAAAAAACTTTGGTCTTTCCTCTTCATAATAGCATAAAACATTTCCAGTGATTTAGACGATAAAATTTTGTCAAGTTTGGCATACAGATTTCTTTTTTCTATTATCTGGGAATTGTCATGTCTTCTTGAGAAAGAATGGAGTGGTTTCCTGTTTGATAACTTCTCGACAGTTTTACATTGAGTTTTTTTTTCCTTCTTATAGACTAGCTGCCACACAAGGCTAGAGATCGCAGTCTAAGCCGTCATGCTTAAAGTCAAAGGTAAACGTAACAGACTAGGATGGAATTTGAACTCAGCTCGCTTATTCCACGAACTGTGTCGGTAACCGTTTGGCGTTGCGTTACCTGCACATCTGGGCCTTAAGGCTTAAAGTAATTAAAGAAAGATTATCGTCAAATATTAAACATTTGGAGACAATGGCAAAAAATATATAAACTCAAACTTCTAATATTTATAAATTTTTTAGCCAATACAGAAATCGTCTTAAAGACATTTTTTCACCGATTTAGAAGTCATTTTCTTTTGAATGCTAGTAAAGAATGAAAGAGAAAAAAACAATGACAAAGGGTCTTGAATTGTGTCAACAACTGAATCAAACGTAGAGGTAGTGTGTGTATCGTTGATTATTTGCCTGACATTTAAAATATTCAAAGACCAGTGTCCAAAATTGACTTTGTATGATTTACTACATAATAATAATTTGTTTAAATGATTGTAAAAGTAAGAAAAAAGCCACATGGAAACAATCGCGTAGAATGTTATTGTACAGCTTACCACTACCAAATATTCCCAAGAAGATGATTTTCCGGTTGTGCCGTTTCAAAAACCTGCAGATACAACCAAACATGGCTTATTATTTTCATTTACAATCACAAAAATGAATGTGTTTACAAAATGAGAATCATTTTTGTTGTTATATGACACACACTGGCAGCCATAGTTGCTCATCGAAGGTAGCTTTTTCTGTTTCGTATTTTTTTTTTAAATTTAATTTACGCGAGAAAATATTATTTATTTTCACTTCGATTTTATAGTAAATATTTTTGCTGTTTCACATGTACTAATTAATTCTTGATAATTTTAAGGTATCGTTTTTACCAGTTAAAACTATCATTTTTTCGTAAACTACTTCAATTATTTTCTCATTTTTTTTAAAACGTGATGAATTATTCTTTTTATGAAATTTTAAAACAGTTGAATTAAATCTCCACAAATTCGATTTTTACACGTACATCAGTCTTCTTTTTTTACTTTTTTTTTTTTTGATTAATCGAAATTATTTAGTTTTCTCTTTTTTTTTACTCTTTATTTTCCTTTGTTCACCTTCGCTCACCAAAAATAATCTGTTCACAAAAAAAATATATCTTGTTATTAAGTTATATAATCTACCAACAAATTATCTTTCTTTTCTTTCTCTGTGTGTGTGTGTGTGTGTGTACCTGCCTGCCTTTGCATAATTCCAGTAAACCTAGAGAAGCTATGGCCACTGAATTTGTTTTTATTTTTTATTTTTATGTGCTTACGAAGTAAACATAAAAATTATGTGTTACTGAAGTACATTTTGGAATTAAAAAAACAATCAAAAAAACAATGTGTACTGTACAACTTAGTCAGTCAGTTATGTGCTTAGGCGATCATGTATCTTTCGATACATAACTGACAAGGCAGATTTTTTCCCCCCAGTAGGTTGCCATTTCTTTCTGTGGTAGACCAGTTGCCATCCAAGGCTATAGAACCCGGCCTGTTCTGCTATTTACCCATAGCTGGGGGGAGAAGAAGAGGAAAGGGTATTTAGTACGTAAGTGAATGTAATGGATTCGGCTGGAATTCGAACTCCTCACCGATTCCTCAATCCGATATGATATTAGTTTTTAAAAATTCCAAAATATAAGTCTTTTGGTGGGGACTCGGTTCAGGTTTACGGTTTTTACACATCACATAACTAACTACAACTATGTCGTTAAATGCTACAAACGGTGACATGTGACAGGTAATAACGGCACAAGTGAAAAACAAACTCTTACAGGATCAATATCTTATATTTTTCATAAAACCCGTTAAAACAGGCTCCAAACGAAATTATGCAAAGATGCATTCTGATTGGCTGGAAAATATATAATATCTATATTACGTGTTATCAGCTACGTCCGAATAACACTGACCTAGTTCTTGACCTGACTAAAAAATAATTCTGCCCATAATCCGTCAATGCCTTTTGCGCCAACCACATGACCCAATAGTTAGCAATAAATATGAAACGTCATTCATCCTCGACAGTGAGCCGAACAGAATGCTTTGAACTCGTCGCACAGTTCCAGGCTTTAAGTTAAAGTTCCTTAACATAATTTCAGCCTGAAAAGAAGACTCACTCACACAGCAATATTTCACCACGAACAAATAACTCAAGTTTTCCACATTCAACTTGATACACGAATCTTTGTCATACGCTTTTAAGATCAACATTAATTATTGCAATTAAACACAGCTTGTTAAGAATCACTTACTCCAACTACAGAATATTCTCTTCAAACGACAAGTGAAAACATAGTCAAAGAACGACAACTTCGTAAACATTAAAGTAAGTCGTGAACGATACTTCTCTACTTTAGTACAAAATTGAACTGTTTATTTTTCCTTAAATTACAATAATACTCAAGCACACTTTCTTATTATTGTACAAACCGTTTAACAACTTACAATCTATCACATCAGAACTTTGATAACACTTCAATCCAAACATAAAAGGATATGTGAACCTTTTTTTAAACTACCTCTTTACTTCAATTGTTTTACCTCTTGGTTATATAATTTAAATGTTTTATTCATTCTTGTGCAAAAACTGTTGTTTCTCATGTTTGTTCTTATTCTATGTTTGTTGAATACTGAAATTTTAATGTGAGAGGAAATTGTTAATTTCATCACGCAGCATATTTACTCAACAATTATTGATCCATATAATTTAATTGACTTGTCGGAGTTAACTCCTCCTTCAGTCCGCTAACCCTTTCACCAGGGGTCTCTCTTCCCTGGCTATAAATAGCCGCTGACTTTTCGCCTCTATCTCTCTTTTTCCTTCAGGCCTGTGCACTGACACCTTGAGGTAAACTCTCTTTTCCCTTCAGGATTTCAGCTATCAACCTCGAAATGTAGGTGCTAACAAGGGATAGTGTGGAAACACGCTAAGCATAATACACACACACGCACGCACATACAGAATATTCACACACGCACGCACATACAGAATATTCACACACACTTCGTCCTTTGTACTGTTTCCATGTATTGTAACTTGTTATTAATATATATTTGTATATACATATATTATCGGTCTTGTTTTGTTTGATTTCTTTACCTTCTACTTGATTATTTCTCTTGTTGTTGTCTTTGTTACATTTGATATTGTAAAAATTGTAGAGGGTCAGTTTTTATTTCTATTTATAACCAATACAAATTGGCTGACCCACTATAGGCTCAACCCCCACACTCTAAACAGTTTAAAATGAAACACCACTAGCTGTTTAATTTTTTTAAAGCTATTTAAAGTGAAATTTCTAATCAGGGGACAGTTGATGTCTGTTTATTTACTTCTGGTTCAGTTTTCGGAAAACCGTCAAGACAAGTACATAACCCCATCATGGAAAGGAAATGTGATTTGCTTCCAAGTATACATACAAAACTGATTATAAGATCCACTACTATCAAATGGAGATTTTTTCCACTTGTGTCATTTTTACCGGTGCCATTTATTGCCTAAATTCACTAAAAATCGGACCTTTATGCCCGTCAACATTTAGCAGAAAATATCCGAGCCAGAAACCAAAGTTATAACCATTTTCCAGGACCTTTCTTTCTACTACTTTTCCGCTCACTGAAGTGAAAAAGCTTATAAATGTAATATGAGTGCTTTTAAATGCTAACCTCTCGACGACATTTAAAAACATTGTTCTGTGTTACTGTTCGTTAAGAAACTTGTGTTTATTGCTGCAATAAAAATTCAGATTACCAGCGAAATGGAGTTACCTACTTTTAAATGTTTTGTTTGTGAAATCGCCACCTAGATATTGAAATTAATGTAACGACTGACCTCAGAGTTGATGATGGTGATTGTTGATGATTTTCTATTTTTTTCAAATATATGATCTTAGTTGGGAAAAAAGGTCCCATTTAAGGCCTTCTGCAGGAACTAGCTTAAAATCGCTCTACAGATTTTCACTGTTTTGTTTGTTTTTTTACTTAAATTTCAGTTTTATCCCTTTTCTGCAATTTTATCACATTTTTTTTTTTATAATTTCTTATTTTTACCAAATGATAATCATAATTTTAAACTACAATTAAAATGTTGACGTTTAAATTTTATATGCATGGATTTTTGAGTTTCTTTTAATGAAAATACATATTCCGATACATGAGTTTTTAAAGTCATTTTTCATCCTAAAGCGAAAGACAGACTACGAACTACTTTTAATATTTTTATATTAAATTAATAATTTATGAAAACTGAAAATTTTTTCTTTAACTTTAATAATGCTCTTTTCAGATAACGAATCCGACATTTCTATATATTTTATTTTTAAGTTAAAGATTAATTCGTTGTACATGAATGAGTCCCACTAAGATAAAATAAAACCCACGGCAAACAATGAATAAGAAGCAGACTGAGAAAACTAAAAAAGTAACCTCTCAAGTTAATTATCTATCTTCTATGTATATGAATAAATGCGAAATTGGAGCTCAATTCTCCCACGAATTCTGAGGTTAAATGGTCCCAAGTAATTTGAGATTTATTCTGAACAATACGCGAATGTATCGATCGGAAGCTTGACGGATCTCTTCCTTGCTTAATTCTGCTTGATTCTAGGGAATCCCCTCCAGCCACTGCCCGGGACAGACTATCCTCTAGAGTCTTCGCCTTTTTAGCCTTATCTAGAGCGAGTTGTTTGCTATATTCAGTGGTGAAGTACCTAATCCTATCCTTAAGCTTCTCCCACCGCCTACTCCAAATAACCACCCCCACTAATTCCTGCTGCACTAGTCTACTCAGCTGTTGCTGGAAGTCCCACTTGTCCAGTAAGAACACGCTGAATTTTCAGTGTCCATCCATTCTAGGCCTACTACCTAACACCATCCGAGTACAGACGAGTCTATGATCCGAATAGTCTAAGCGATGGAATGTGGGACAATCTAGTAAAACTAGGTCGACCCTTCTCACTAACATCCTGTCCAAGTAGCTGGTCTACCTGGAGAGATGGACACTTATGAGCCCACGTTCACGTCTTCCTTCCCGGGTGATCAACCGGTATCTATCGACGAGCCCAAACTCGCCTATCTACGATCGCCCGATGCCTTCCCGCTAGCTCCCTGTACCATCTCTGTCTTGGGGTTCAGGGTGGCATTACAGCCCCCCCCCCCCAATCAAGACTAAGCGCGACGAATCCAGCAGGAACTATCTCAACCGACGGAAAAAGTCGATACGCTTCGCATGATTGTTGGGTGCATAAACCGAAACGAACCATTGCTCACGACAATATCGGCCACGACCAACCGGCCCTCCGCGCCCACATGGACACGGTCTACCTCGCATCCAGAGAGCACTTAATTAACAAAGAAACAGCTCTGGCCTGCTGGTCCCCGTATACTGAATAGACGACAAAGTCGTTAGACAGCTCACGAGCATCGATGTCGCAAAGTGTGTTTCCTGTATCGCGGCCAGCCTTACTCCGATCTCTCAAGCCCCTTACATTCAAACTAGCTACCTTGACAGACATCTTTCAAAGTCGTTTTTAAAAAAAAACCTTAAGAGTAGACTGGACAAAAATCTATGGGAGTC